ATTTGTCCTTATTAAACTTCATCCTTTTTACCTCAGACCATTTCTCCAGTTTGTCCATATCATTTTGAATTACGACCCTGCTCTCCCAAGCACTTGCAACCCCTCCCAGGTTGGTAACATCTGCAAACTTAATAATCATACTCACTATGCCATCATCTAAATCACTGATGAAGATATTGAACAGAACCGGTCCAAAAACAGACTCCTATGGAACTGTTAATAACTACTCTCTGAGAACTGTTATTCAGTCAGTTATGCACCTACCTTATAGTAGCCCCATCTAGGTTGTATTGCCCTAGTTTATTGATAAGATCATCATGTGAGACTATATTAAATGCCTTACTAAAGTCTAGGTAGATTACATCCACCACTTCTCCCTTGTCCACAAGACTTGTTATCCTATCAAAGAAAGCTATCAGTTTGGTTTGACATGATTTGTTCTTTACAAATCCATGCTGATGTTACCTATCACCTTAATATCTTTCAGTTGTTTGCAGATGAATTCCATAATTACTTGCTCTATTATCTTCCCGGGCACAGAAGTTAGACTGGTCTGTAGTTTCCTCGGTTGTTCTTATTTCCCTTTCTACAGATGGACACTATATTTGCCCTTTTCTAGTCTTCTCTTCCATCTTCCATGACTTTTCAAAGATGATGGTTAAAGGCTAGTATTTCACCTATTAAAGACATATTTCCAGTTTTAAGATTTCAAGAACATAAGAATAGCCATACTGGGTCAGACCAAAGATCCATCTAGCTCAGTATCCTGTATTCCAGCAGGGGCCAGTGCCAGCTGCCCCATAGGAAATGAACAGAACAGGTAATCATCAAGTGACCCATTCCCCGTTGCTCATTTCCAGTTTCTGGCAAACAGAGGCTAAAGACCTCATCTCTGCCCATCCTGGCTAATAGCCATTGATGGAACTATCCTCCATGAATGTATCTAGTTCTTTTTTTGAACCTTTTCATAGTCTTGGTCTTCACATCTTCTAGCAAAGAGTTCTACAGATTGACAGAGCATTTTGTAAAGAAATACTTCCTTTTGTTTGTTTTAAACTTGCTACCTATTAATTTAATGTAGTAAATCCTAGTATTATGATTATCTACTTTCTCCATGTCAATTATTATTGTATAGATCTTACTCATATCGCTCCTTAGTAGTCTTTTTTTTTGTAGCAGCCTTGCTGCAATTGGCTATATGTTTTGCCTGCGGCAGCCCAACTCCTACTACATTTAAACTGAAGAGCTGCAACTGAGGTAGCGAGCACTCCCCTCCTTATCGACTAATCAAGTAGTGGATGGAATTCCATCGACTACTCAATTAGCTGATTAGCCACATTTTAACATTCTTAGTCTGCAGAAAACAACACAGAGGACAATCTGTACATCAGCAGTGCAGAAAAATGTTATCTGGTGATACACTTCAAAAGAGTACATTTGAAAGGTTTACTAGACTATAGGAAGGGAAGAGAACCCCTTCCTTAGCCATCACTTAAGGTCCAAAAGAATTCAACCTTCTTGGTATCTGTGTAAATGTAGATCCTTCCATTAGGTGGGATGAAGATGCTGAGAATCTTGAGTGCTTTCTTGCACTTCTATGGAACAAGAAGCAAGAGCAGTAAGTTTCTTCAAAAGCTTATGTGATTGTCTTATGATAAATACAACTCTGAATCCCTTCAACTTTGATCCTATATAATGTAACTGCAGATAAGTTGAAGCATCTGGGATAACCTATACAAAAGTCCCATTCTCTCAATCCTGCTAGTCTTTTGGCCTCACATGTGGCAGTAGTTACATAGGTTGTGCATTTTGCAAAGTATGGCCTCTCATCAAGCCTTAACTTCTTATTTTATAGGGGCTTCACTACCTTCAGTCAGTACGGGTGACTTCACAGTAACTAATTAACACATTGATAGCACCTTCATTGACACAGGTCTCAAAATAAGTTTATTCTTGCAACACCTTTGTCTCTGGAGTATTATCCCTACGGCTGTGTCTAGACTGGCCAGTTTTTCCAGAAAATCAGCTGCTTTTCCGGAAAAACTTGCCAGCTGTCTACACTGGCCACTTGAATTTCCGCAAAAGCACTGACTTCCTACTGTAAGAAATCAGTGCTTTTTGTGGAAATACTATGCTGCTCCCGTTCAGGCAAAAGTCCCTTTTGCGCAAAACTTGTGCGAAAAAGGGACAGTGTAGACAGCTGAGATAGAATCATAGAATCATAGAATAATAGGACTGAAAGGGACCTCGAGAGGTCATCGAGTCCAGCCCCCTGCCCTCAAGGCAGGATCAAGCTCCGTCTACACCATCCCAATTAAGGCCTCTGGGGTTCCTATAAAAGGATTCCTCCCATGGGGGTGGGGGGTAGAATTTTTAGAAGGTGCACAGAGCAGAGCAAATCAAATCAAATCCTGAACCCCAAGGACTGGCCTGTGATGAGAATGACTTGGTAAGCGTGGACCCTTGCCTCTAGGGAAATCCCAGGGCAAAAAAGGGGGCTCTGTGAGTCTCTGAGGCGCTCAAGTAACCACCAAGAAGCGCAGAACCCCCAGGGAGCTACCAAGGGACTTTGTCACACATGAAACAATACACCTTTTTTACTTTCTTCTCACAAAAAGATCTAGTTCAATATATTTCAATGGAGTTTAAAGGTCTGGCTCCTTTTGCCTCCTCAAATATTTCTCTTTAAAGGTTTCAAATAATGGCAGAAACAGAGCAAATCCCTGCCACACTTCCATGTGAAATACTAGAGATTAAGTTAAAGTAATGTTGCCCCAGTTTTCTAAGGCACTGCTAGGTATAGCTAATACAAGCTCTGCCATTTAATCTGTTCATTAGAACCGTGTTTCTCAAACTGCTCCGCGGAGCACCAGTTCCGCGTAAGCATCTGTTTTCCGCAAAAAAACCCCGATCGCAAAAATGGTGATCGGGCCTTTTTTGCACAAAAGCATGTCTAGATTGGCCACGGATGCTTTTCTGCAAAAAGTGCTTTTCTGTTAAAAGCATTTCCGGAAAATCATGCCAGTCTAGACGTAGCCTACTTGTATAGGTCTGATGCTAATGTTAGGGTTAGATGACTGACTTATGACTTATGTAGTCCCCTTACTAAAAGGGGCCTCTGACTTTTTCTGGGAGGATCCTTTGTGCCACAATCTAGCCCTAGAGACTACAACTCCCATGAGCCCTGGAGGAAAAAGGAGGAAGGGGATTCATCTGGGCATTTTGGGAGAGAGAGAGGCTTTCCATTTTCGGGAGAAAGGAGCCAGGCTGCTGTCCAGAAGCTGTTGTGTTGCAGCTAGAGCCTGGAACTGAGAGCATGTGGGGCTTGGATCTAGCAGGCTGCTTCAGGGGCTGCTGATTGTCCCTAGATGGGAAAGACTCTGGCTATGCCTGAAAAAGGCTACATATTCCTGCACACAGGAGGAAACTGAGAGTAACTGGGCTCTTTGGGTAAGTGCTTCCTGGAACAGACCTCAGAGATACAGACTAATTCTGGGTCCAAAGAGAGGCAGAGTGACCAGCCCAGTGAACCAGAGCTGCTGGCATTTGATGGAGCCAGCTGCAGTGGCAGAGGAATTTTGCAGCTGGCTGCTCAGCTTGGACTCACACACACAGGACCTGCAGAGTGCTGTCTCCACTCCAGCTGCAGACCTTCAAGCACGCCCATGCAAGTGTTTGGGACTTTGAATCCAGAGGAGTGCACGCTCTGGGGTGGGATAAATGGTGGCAGTGCAAATGCCAGATAGATAAGTTCCTTTTATTTGTGTACTTTAATTGATTTTATTCACTGTTAATCTTTACTTAACTTAAAGAAACATTTAAGTTAAGTAAAGGTGTGTTAATTCTAATTTAATCAAATAGATGTATATTATTTATAATTGTCCTGGAGTTAGATCCGGATTATTGCAGAAATAATTTTATTCCTGGAGGCTCCTAAGGCACACCATTAAGTGTGTACAGGGCCAGTAAGATGGAAGCACCACCATCATATATTCTTTAGTGTGTGTGTGACTGTTCCTGAGTAACACAGGGAGGAAAAGGGGGTTTACATCCACATGGGAAGTTTGTGGCAGAACTGAAAATAGAAGCACCATGCCCCAGCTCTAGGAATTTGCACTATAAGACCCTACTCCCCATTCAAAGTTTTGTCTTCATCATTTCAAGCTTATTTCTCTATTAAACAGTAAAATAAAAAAAAATTAAAGAAAAAAGTTAAAGAATTTTCAAGTGAGCTAAGTGGAGACAAAGCGTTGGAGGTGTTTACCTTGGCATAGCTAAACGAGGGCCGCACTGTATCTTCCAGCTGAGGTTGATCTCACCCATTTCACATCGCAGTAAAATTCAAGCAACATTGTCTCCTCCGTTTCCACAGAGGGATTGCCAATGCACAATAACTGTCAGCTAGAACTAAAATAAAAAGAAACAAAACTGCTTTTCTTGTCAGGGAGCCTTTACAAGTAGGGACGAAGACCCTGACAACTTTGGCTGGTGTTACATCAGGTAGCTTTCTTCCTTCTGAGAGTATGTTGAACTAGAGCTCCAGTGGTACAATTAGAGTTATGGTGGGGCTTGAATTCATTTCAGAAAACAAAAATACCCCCAAGGTCCTGGACCTGTTTAATTAAATATTATTTAACCTGGGTCTGTTGGGTCACCTCGATGCCATTCCACCTATCCAAAAGGCATGTTCCTGAGTTCCATTACACAGCTGCAGCATTTCAGTGGTCTACTGCATACTGTGCCTATTAAGCGCTTGGAGAGCCTTACAAAAGAGGCACTATAGATCTGTACAATGGTAATATTAATGCTCTGCAGAGTTAAAGAACAGCATGAAATAGAAATAAAGATGATATTGTTTTGGGTTATTTTGAAAGTATGGGATTTGATCATGGGTCTAGCAGTGGCCAGTGCTGCACACAAGAAGGAAAATAAACCTTATAGTACATGCCCAGAACTGATCATTTTTAGCACTGGCTAACACATGGCTTTGTCTTTTCCAGACAGCGCAGACAGTGCTACTCGTGGTTGCTGTGTTCTTGATATCCTGGCTCCCACACCACATCATTACCATGTGGGCAGAGTTTGGTCAGTTTCCTCTAAACAACATCTCCTTCACTTTTCGCATAATCTCTCATTGCTTAGCCTATGGGAACTCTTGCATTAACCCCATCATCTATGCTTTCCTCTCGGAGAACTTCCGCAAGGCCTGCCGGCAAGTCTTCACCTGCAAGATCTTTCTACTACTCACTCAACAACTAACGTGTGACCTGGACATAAAAAATGAGAATGCATTACAGTAAAATGATAATCCACTGAAAGAGAAAATTGGGAGGATGGGGAGAACACATTTGTATAGAGACGATTCTGGGGCAGAGTGCTTTAAAGACTTATTCATCATGCTAAAGGAATTCTGAACCATTCCTTAATGCAGCAGTGTGAATCCCTTCACACTAGGGATGTGAACATGTACCCATGTAACCAATGAGCCCAACCTCATTGGTTAATGAGTACAGTTACACATAGGCACTGCCCACCCCCACACTGTTCCCTTTGAGGCCTTTTAAGCCAGCTCCCCACATGTACTGGCTCTCGCCTGCTCTCCCCTCCCCCCTTCCCACCCCCGCTACTGTTTCTGATAGGAGCTGGTACTCACCTGCCCCTCCCCTGCCCCCCATGTAAATGTATAACCACTGAAATTTTCAGTGGTTACATATTAACTTAGCTAAATGTATTTTTAATATCTCTACTTAACACAGGCACAGCTGGCCCTGTTGTGGCTTATTAACTACCAGATTCTTTATAGCAGTGGTACTCACATCATATAAGCTCCTGAATACTTGCAGATTCAGAGAGACTGAGGCCTAAGTTTAGATGGAGGGTGGGGTTTTATCAGATAAGGAAAAAAAATCCAGCTTTGTGTTCAGCAAAGAGCAGTCAATCTGATGGGGTCGAATACAAACTGGAATGTGGTTTATTAGTGATATAATATTTGGAAGCTTCAGGGTGTAGCGGAGTTAGTCTGTAAAAGGAAAAACGTAAACAACAAATAGTCTTTCAGGTGCTACTAGACTAACAAAACATGTAGATGGTATCATGAGCTTTCGTGGGCACAACTCACTTCTTCAGAGATTGCTTGAAGTTAAAAAAAAATCTTGTTGTAAAGTCTCTAATGTTTCTGTTGTAAATCACATCTAGAAGTCAGTGTTTCTACTGTATGCAAGCTGGTTTAAATTAGTTTGCTATGACTGGATATCCCTTCTTCGTGACAGGTTTTCCTAGTCAGTCTTTGAGGGAGTAAAAAAAGCTCAGTGCATTCATATAACCAGTCATAATTTGTCTCTCAAAAGTCTGAGTATTTGTCTCTTCCTTATCACCCTGTATATTTGCTGGTTTTAATGTTAGTGCCGGTTATATTCAGGAAACCATTGTTTCTAATGCTGGTCTGTTTAGCACCAATGAGGATGAGAGAACAAGATTTAAACTAAAACTCTGAAGAGTGTATTTGTTAAGTGTCAGTCTCTTTCTGTTCAGATTTATTGTTTACAAGGTTTTGTTTGTACACATACTGTGAGCACTTCTTACCAAAGCCTTTTTGGATACTTGTTACCTGAAATGCTGCATGAAGGTCCACGCTTATCGGTGATTTCATCAACCGTACCACAGCCATCATCATCAGACCTTTGATCTGAGCATTATTGCTGTATAAAGCTGGTGATTGTAAATACAAAGTTTCATGGTACTGTGTTACGTTGTATGGCTGTTTGAGCCTATGGGCCTGCATTCGCTGTTTGAGGTGGGTCTTCTGTGACTCATGCCTACGGTTGAGTATCAGAGTCATATGTGAAATAAAAAACCTTCTGGGGAAACAGACCAGCCAGGGGACCTATCCCAATACTCTTCCGTTGGCCTTTCTTTCTTTGTAGCCTTCCCCAGTGTCTTCTGAGGAAGATCCAGGCCTACTCTCTACTCCGGATCTCAGCCCATGACAGCAGCTGCCCATGACCCTTTAACTAGGGTGCTTTGCTGCAGTGCTTCCTTGGACCACTTCCCCACAGCCTCATACATTCTTCATCCTTACCTTAGCATCTTTTCCTGGTTGAGTCCAGCTGCCAGCCCAGACGGTTTTCCACCATTTCTCTGCCAGCACCGCTCTGTCCGAGGTCCTGTAGCTCCTTTAGCCAGCCGGGAACACACACCATCCAAGCTCCACCAATTCCAGCACATAACTAATTTCACTCCTGCTCTTGTAGTGCTGCTGCTAGGCACCAATTGGGTGCTTCCTGCAGTCCCTTTCTGATTGGCCCTGTCCCACACAGCCATCCTATGCAGCTCAGAGGACCTTCTCCCAATGCTCTTCTCTGGGGCATGGTGAGGCAGTGTTGTGAGACCTTAAGTAGGGAACATCAGCTAAGTTCCCCCTAAACTGCATAGCTGCTTCCCATTAAGCCCCATATAGTGGCTCAGGGACGCAGTTGGGAGATCTCCGTCTGCAAGCCCTGAAGCTGCCCAGGACAGTAGCAGGGCACCCCTCTTTGTTGGCCCAGCACCGAGCTGCTTTGGCTAGGAGAAAGGGGCCCCTTCTCGCCATCTCCAACAGGGAGCTGCCCAGGTATGCTTAAGCCCCAAGCCCCTGCCTTGAGCATCCTCCTGTACACAAAGCCCTCATCCTCGGCCCCACCCCAAAGCCTGTACCCTCCTCATACACTCCAACTTCCAGCCCAGGGCCCCTCCCCATACCTGCAGCCCCTCTCCTACACTATTCTTCATCCCCAGCCTCACCCACAAAGCCTGCACCTCCAGCCTGAGCCCTTGCATGCCAACTCTCAGTCCCTACTCTGAGCCCCTCAACTTCACCCCCACCCTAAAGCATGCACCCCTAGCCAGAGCCCTTACACTTCTGCACCCCAACCTGTGGCCTAGCACTGAGTCCCCTCCCACGCTCAGAACCTGTTGGTCCCACTCCTGCCACACATTACCTCCGCATACTGCTCGGGGGTGGGAAAAATTGGAGGGAACACTAGTCATCAGGGCTTGGTCCATCCCACCACAGTAACATTTTTGCCAGAACAGTCCCATTTACAAGTCTGTTCCAGACAGACTTGAATTCCAGATTCTTGGCAAATCTGGGCATTTGTCCCATGTGCTCTTACTCCATAGGGACACGGGAGTGTTTGGGCAAGAGCAAATGCCCAGTTTTTTTACCTCACGCTCACACACAAGAAGTGATGATGCCTCTGGCCAGACCTGAGCTACCTAGTATTGCTGGTGCTGTGTTTAGAGGTAGAGGTAGAAGCCATTGCTCTCAAACTGCCCAGCTCTGAAGGCAGCGTCACCACTGCAGCAGCACATTAAGTAATGGTGGCAATATACTACTGCCACATTTTCAGGTTAGGGAAACGTGTTCATCCTATCTTTGTGTGTAACAAGTAGCACTTAAGTTCACCCACTCATTTCTCCCCCACTGGAAGGGAACCTAAAAGTGATGTAGAAACCAAGCTTGAGAGATATTTTCCTTTCCTATTTTATGTTGTAACTTTCCCTTAGAAACAGCTGGTCTCAACTTTCCTGAAAGACCTCAAAACAAAGTTACTTTCAAACTTGAGTATTTCCACATGAAGGTTGAGAAAACAAACCAAAGTTAGAAAGTATGCATTCCTTCAAGCTGTTTTACCTATTCTGTGGATACACAGGACTTAATTTTAATAATCAAGTCAAACATCTACACTCATGAAATAATGTATTCAAAAAAGTATATTAACATTCTAAAGGAATCAATTATTTCTGCAACTTTTAAATAAGTTGCATGTAATAATCACTGCCTACCTGAGGATAATGGAGACTAGTTATTATGCACTGATATCTTCTCCTGTACTATATTAAATCCACATGAATACCTATTTTCTTCAAGTCATGCCTTGTTTATATGAAATGAAAAGTCAAGATTTCAGGAGCAGAATAAATGCAACACAGCCCTTACTAAACAGAAGGGAAACTTATTTATTAGTTGTGGATTTTATTACATCTATTGAGATTTAGAAAACCATGAAGTATTAGTTCATCCGGATATGCATGTGTGCACCTGCCAGTAACTAACCAAGCAGGAACACTCTCGTTATGTTGTTTCTTTGCCCATTCTCACTCACAAAATTAAGTTTAGCAGACTTGGCCTTCAATAGAAGGCACCCTAAATCCAATTTGGGCTTTACAATTTCATTGTTTGTCAGCCTGAGTCAGGTCTGTTTCAGGCAAAGGCTCCTTAATGGCAGACTTCATTCCAGGGAGACTAGTCCTTCTCCGGGCTGCAGTCTCTATCTTCCGCACCAGATCAACATCCCAACGATAGGTTACAAAACTAACTACTGTCCCAGGCACCTTGCTCCCCACACGTCCAACTCGCCCCACACGATGGAGATAGTCCTGTAATGTGGAAGGGAAGTCATAGTTGACTATTAGCTCCACATGGCTGGTATCCAGTCCACGGGAGGCTAAGTCAGTGCAGATAAGGACATTCCTTTCTCCCTTCTGGAAGGTAGTGAAAATTCCTGCTCTCATCGCTGCAGGCATTTGTCCCTGTAGCCTCAGGTGCTTGATTTTGTGGTCATCTAGGATGTAGCCTAACCAATTGACTGTGCTAGCACTGTTGCAAAAGACGAGAATGGCTCCACTAGACGGACCAGGGTTTTTGATGAGCTGAAGTAACTCAGACACCTTGTCGCTGCCTTTGATGCGGATGAACTTCTGCTGGACATGGGGAAGGAGGTGGTGCAAGTTCTTGCTGGTGAGGGTGAGGAAGCGGCCTAGGTCGGTGAACTTGCTCAGCAGCTGTCCTAGCCCATCAGGGAAGGTTGCCCCAACGATCACTAGCTGGGTTTTGGTGTCCCACTGGCCAGCCACCTCTTTGGGACTGTGGGCAATAGGGGCTTGCATAAGCACTTCCTCCACGAGATCCAAGAAAGTGACATCCAGCAAGGTGTCAGCCTCATCCAGCACCAGACAGGATAGCTTCTCCAGTTTCACCATCCTCTTTCGCAGTGCTTTGCACAGAGCCCCAGGCGTGGCCACCAGCAAATCAGCATCAGGATCGGAACGGAGCTGGTTTTTCACACTGGCCATGCCCCGGCCGCCACCAATCTCCCGCACCCGTAATCCCAGCGGACGGCCCAGAGATGCGGCCACTGTGCGCACCTGCTCCGCCAGCTCCCGGGAAGGCAGCAGCACTAGGCTACGAGGGGAGGGTGGCCACGATGGGCCCAGTGAAGGCCGGGCCAGAAGTTTCTGGAATAGGGGGAGCAGGTAGGCCAGAGTCTTGCCGCTACCCGTCTCGGCAGCGCACAGCGCATTGCCCCCGCGCAGCAGGGCAGGGATGGAGCGGCGCTGCACGACCGTGGGCTGGCTGATGGAGAGAGCCTGCAAGGCCGACACCAGTGCCGGCTCCAGCCCAAGCGCCTGGAAGGAGTCATCCCCGCGGTCGGCCAGGGAAGGCAGACATGGGATGAGGGGGGTTAATGGCACAGATGCAGCTCCCTGCTCCACTATTCCACTCCCCCCAACTTACCGTGTTCTGAGCCCCCCGCAGCTCAGCCAACTCCACTGCATGCTGCAGCCGAAGAGACGCTATCTCCAGGCTGGTGCTGGGGAAAATGGGGGAGGGCTAGGTGAGTTCTGCCAGTGCCCCTCACTCCCAATCTGCAGCCCCTGCTAGCTCAGCCCTGGGCTCCCCCCAGCCCTGCCAGTGCCCCTCACTCCTGGCCCACAGCCCTGCTAGCCCAGCCCTGGACTCCCTCAGACCTGTCAGTGCCCCTCATGACCTGCAGCACCCTTTCTTTGGGGCAGAGCATTGGGGGTCTCATCTCTACCTGAATTCCTGGGTTCCAGCCTCCAGATGCAGATTGGCGGCCAGTAACTGCTCCAGGTCCCTGCACGCTGAAAGCTTTTCATCTGTAAATCAAGGAGGGAAAGGGGGCTGGGAACCAGGACTCCAGGTTTATCTCCCTGGCTCCGGGAGGAGTGTGAGGGCTGGTGTGGTTGAGTGCGGGGAGAGGAGACTGGGACCCAGAACTTCTGAGTTCTTTCCAAAGTTCATCTGCCAAATTAATCCTGCTTAGGGATCTGCAGTGGCTAGGGGAGAGACATGCTTCTCCGACCCTAGCACCAAGGCCAGATTAAGAAAGGGGCTTTAGGGGCAGCAGCTTGTGAAGACCAGAACTGCCTAGTGAAGGAAACAGCTCTGTGCACTGTTGTCTCTTCCCCCAGCCCCAGCTGGAGCCTGGTCACGGAACATGAAGAAGTTCTGGTCCCCCCAGCTCCCATTAGCCAGGAATCACAGCCAAAGGGAGCTGGGGGAAGTGGTGCCTGCAAGTGAGCACAGACAAGATGGACCAGCTGTTCCCCACCACCACCAAATGGGAGCTGCCTCAGTCCCCCTTTTAGACCCCGTATCCCAACCCCGAGCCCCCTCTTGTACCCTGACTTCTGCCAGACCCTGCACCACCACATTGAGTGCAAAATAAGGGATGTTTACCTCTGGGGTCTTGTTTCAAATATTTTGTTCTGATTTAGACACATACTCATTATTCTTAGATCCTGATTTTCATAGACTCATAGACTTTAAGGTCAGAAGGGACCATTATGATCATCTAGTCTGACCCCCTGCACAGTGCAGGCCACAGAATCTCGCCCACCCCTCTTAGAATAATCCTCTCACCTATGTCTCAGATATTGAAGCCTTCCAATACTTTGAAGGCCCCAACATGCAGAGAGTCCTTCAGCTGTGATCTGTGCCCAATGCTACAGAGGAAGGCGAAAAACCTCCAGGGCCTCTGCCAATCTACCCTGGAGGAAAATTCCTTCCTGACCCCAAATATGGCGATCAGCTAAACCCTGAGCATGTGGGCAAGACTCACCAGCCAGACACCCAGAAAGTTCCCTATAGCAACTCCTATCATCCCTCCATTGACCTATTTCCAACTGGAAATGAATGGTCAATTAGTTACCAAGATCATGTTATTTCATCCAACCATCCCCTTATCATAGAATCAGAACTGGAAGAGACCTCAGAAGGTCGTCAAGTCCAGCCCTCCGCTCTAGGCAGGACCAATCCCATCTAAATCAACCCGGCCAGGGCTTTGTCAAGCCGAGACTTAAACACCTCTAGGGATGGAGACTCCACTACTTCCCTAGGTAACCCATTCCAATGCTTCACTACCCTCCTAGTAAAATAGTTTTTCCTAATATCCAATCTGGACCTCTCCCACCACAACTTGAGACCATTGCTCCTTGTTCTGCCATCTGTCACTACTGAGAACAGCCTCTCTCCATCCTCTTTGGAACCTCCCTTCAGGAAGTTGAAGGCTGCTATCAAGTCCCCCCTCACTCTTCGCTTCTGCAGACTAAACAGACCCAAGTCCCTCAGCCTCTCCTCGTAGGTCATATGCTCCAGACCCCTAATCATTTTGGTTGCCCTCCGCTGGACCCTCTCCAATGCGTCCGCATCCTTTTTGTAGTGGGGGGCCCAGAACTGGACACAGTACTCCAGATGTGGCCTCACCAAAGCCGAATAAAGGGGAATAATGACATCTCTGGATCTGCTGGCAATGCTCCTCTTAATGCATCCTAATATGCCATTAGCTTTCTTGGCTACAAGGGCACACTGTTGACTCATATCTAGCTTCTCATCCACTGTAACCCCCAGGTCCTTTTCTGCAGAACTACTACTTAACTGGTTGGTCCCCAGCCTGTAACTATGCTTGGGATTCTTCCGTCCCAAGTGCAGGACTCTACACTTGTCTTTGTTGAATCTCATGAGATTTCTAGTGGCCCAATCCTCCAATTTGTCTAAGTCACTCTGGACCCTATCTCTGCCCTTAAGCGTATCTACCTCTCCCCCTAGCTTAGTGTCATCTGCAAACTTGCTGAGGGTGCAATCTATCATGGAAGTCCCCTGCCCTGAGCTCCCTCCCACACTCCTAACCCCTCACCCATCCCCACCACAGATTGGCCATGTGCAGAATGAATTTTGTCATGTGCACCCATATGGACTCTATCGGTCTGTCTACGCTGCAATCCTCTTTTGAGAGGAATGCAAATGCAGCGGAGCGAAATTGCAAATGAAGCATGGATTTGAATTTCCCATGCTTCATTTGCATAATCGCGTCCGGGCGCTATTTTGAAAAACCCTATTTCAGAAAAAGAAATGCTGTCGAGATGCGGTGGTGTCAAAAGAAACCCCTTCTTTTGAAATTACCCTTATTCCTTATAAAATAATCTGAGAAAATGTGGGATTCGTCCATTAACCAAATCCATTTTCTATCAGAATGAAAAAGCAACCTGACAACTTATTTTAGTAATAAATGGTGGATTTTAAAAAAGCCCATGAATTTCATTGGTTGTGGGGGAAGGAAATTTTGATTCTACATGTCCCTTGGTAGAGAAAATGTTTCTCTCATTTGTTTTGCGTTTTGTTTCAGAGTATACCACAAAAGGAATGACTGTGAACATTCCAGCACTCTGTTTTGGAGGCAAGAACATTTTGGCTCCCATGGTGCGGGTTGGAACATTACCCATGCGTCTTTTGGCTTTGGATTTTGGTGCTGATATTGTGTACTGTGAGGTATGAAGGCTAAGGCGATGGGGAGGCTCTGTTTTCTTACCATGTGATGACAACATGAAAAATATTGGTTTCTCAGTAGGCATATCCTCATAGATGTTAAAGGGATTAATCTTGTTACTGTATGGTCAACAAACTTTCATATGTAGACTTTTATTTTTTGAGTGCTTGTTCAGATCGATTCCAATCAAGTGTGCATGCAAGGACAATGGAAACTTTTTCCCTTAGCAGCCCTCATCAGATGGGCTGAGGAGCCCCCTAGAGTGACACCCTTATGGCACTCTATATATGACCTTTCTGACCCAGCCCTCCTTTAGTTTCTTCTTACCATCTGTGGTGGCATTGGAATAACATTCACTTGTTTGCAAGTGCTCCCTTAGTTTTAATAGTGTTAGTTGTAATACTTTTAGTATTACAGTAATAGCATTAATAGTTGTTGTCAGCAGTTCTAGTTCATAGGTGGGCAATAATTTTTGCACAGGGACCACTTAGTGAATTTTGGTACCTGCTCACAGGCCAGCTCCACCTCAGAAGGGGCATGGTCTAGGGTGGAAGGGGTGGGACCTGGGGACTAACCCCTCCCCCAGTTGTTTGGAGCTGAAGGCTTTGAATTAAAAACATATCAAAGGGCTCCCAGTTCGCGGGTCCGCTGCTACCGCGTTGCTTGGCAGCCGCCAAAGGTTGCTGCAGTTATTTAAAGGGCTCACAGCTCCAGCCCCTGGCAAGGTAGCACTGCAATTGGAAGCCACGAGCCATGGGATCTTGCTGCTTGAGCCACCTCCTGGAAATTTGGTGGCACAGGGAGCAGAATATAAATACAAAGCAACCAGATACAGTCCTGGGGCCAAATCCAAGTGTTAGGCAGGTTGGATCCGGCCCCTGGGCCACATCTTGTCCTGCCCCGTTCTGGTTGGTAACTGAAATCATTTCTGGCCTGTCAACTGCTTGGGGCTGTGGGGCTGCAAACCTTGGGCTTTCAGGTTTGCAGTCCTTGCTGAAAGCCTATGCCAAAGAGCAACCCCCATGACTCATGTCTTGGGTGCTTGGAATGGCCGGCCCCTCATAAAAATCATTGCCCACCTCTACCCAAGGATTTGGTAAATGATCAAGGATCACAATCTGCAGTGATATTAATGGAGGAAGTGTGGGGTCTGAGATGGAGGTTGGGTACAGAAGGGAGCTCAGATTAGGAGGTTGGGGTGCAGGAGGTGATGTGAGTTCTGGGAGGAAGTTTGGGTGAAGAAGTTTGGTGGGATTTGGGTGCAGGGTCCAGGAAAGGGATGGATGCAGGAGCGGGGGTGCAGAGGGTATGGGGTATGACCTATCATGGGGGAGCAGAAGATTGGGGAGTGGGAGGTTGTAAAGTAGGGATGTTAAGACGCAAGTAAATAGCTAATCGTGCAGTTGATAGAATTTCTGTTGACTACTCAATTAGTCGATAAGGGAGGAATGCTCGGAGTTACCACTTGTTGCACCTCTGCAGTTTAAATATAGAATAAGCCGGGCAGGCAGGCAGGCAGCCTGGCTCCTACTACATTTAAACTGCAGAATTGCAGTGGGGATGGATCCCAGACCAGCACAAGCTGTTCTTGCTCAGTCCCAGCTTGTGCCAGGTCCAGCAGCCACTGTCCACAGGGGGTCCCAATGGGGAGCTGGAATCCCCCAAGGACAGGGGCTGCTGCTGAAGCAGCTCCTGTTCGTGGACAGCCCCGGAAGATGCAGATAGGGTCTGCTCTGCTGGATGTGGAGCAGCCACCCCTGCCCCGCCCACCCTGCACGGGGCAGGGGCAGCTGCTCCAGTGTGGGAGGAGGGCAGGCAGCACCGTGGAGATGGTGTTGTGAGGAGCCAGGTTTTAAGCTGGCTGCCCACCGGCTCCTGCTTCCCAACCCCTTGCTGCTTCTGATACAGAGGTAGCAAGTGGGGAGATGCAAGTAGTTAAGTAGTTGACTTGACTGCTCGCATACATCCCTAGTATAAAGTGCAAGTTCTGGTTGGGACGCACTTACCTGGGCAGCTCCCAGCCAGCAGCCCAGTGCCTTCCATGCCCCTGCACATCCCTCAGAGTGGTGGCTGTGGGGATGATGTGTTTGTCTGAGCATTGTGAGCCCTGGAAGGTGCCTTCTGAGCGCTGCAGGTACCACAAACATGGCCCAGGAAGTTGCTGGCTAATTGGAGCTGCGAGATTATGCTGGGAGCAGAGGCACACGCAACCCCCCCTCCACCTCCCTCTGGGCTTGCAATGCTCAGAGAAGCACATGGCCCCTACAGCTGGCTGCTTTGACCAGCATATAAGCATGAAAGGAACGGAGTATTCCCAGAGTTTCCACTTGGACACTGCACAGTCGTGGCCTGAATCTGGCCTGCAGGCTGTATTTTGCCCATCCCTGTGCTTGGGGGAAGCCCATCCGTCATGCTGCAGTATTTGGAAGGCTTTCATGCCTCATACAAGAAAGGAAAGAGACTCCCAGTGTGCGACGGGGCCAAAACAGTGCAGCTGGTGGTTCTGGATACATGTTGTCAGCATTCCATAATGTGCTCATCTCCTTCCCCACCCCTGTCTTTTCATACCCTTTTCCCCCTGCCTGGCCATGCAATGTCATAGCAGGGAAAATATGGGCCCTGTTGAGTAGCAAAGTGCCATGACAGTTATAGCAAACATTTCATGCTTTATTCTGCAGTATGTCCAGAGTCTATCCAGGGCCCACCAGAGAGATGAAGAATATGAGGAGGCTATTAATAGATGTTTGTAAGACATATGTAAGGCCACTTCCATGGAAATTTGTGAATTGCTTTCTCCCATCCTGAAGTGCAGCAATACCAGACTGAGACCCACTTTGACAATTCAGAAGTGAGTGGCAGTAGCTCTGTGGAAGCTTGCAATTGCAGATTGCTGCCAGTCACTTGGAAATCAATTTGAAGTGGGAAAAATCTACAGAGGGGGCTGCTGTGATCCAGGTTGCCAAGGCAATCAATACTCTTCTGCTATGAAGGGTAGTGACTCTGGGAAACATACAGGACATAGTGGAGAGTTTTGCCACATTGGAGTTCCCTAATTTTGGTGGGGTGATAGGAATATACATTCCATCTATCTTGGTAAACTGGAAGGGATACTTCTCAATGGTGTTGCAGGTACTGATGGATCACAAGGGCCATTTCACTGACATCAACATAGGATGGTCCAGAATAGGGATGTGAGTGGATAACCAGTTACCCAATAAGCATCACCCTTACTAGTTGATACTTACTGGATAACAGTTTTTCCTTTACCCGGGGTATGCCCTGAGTGGAGGGACATGTTTGTTCTTCCCCTTTTTTTATCAGGAGAGCAAACATGCTCTTTCAGTAACCCCTGTATTTCCTGTTCCACAAGGAATAAGGGGGCTTCTGAAAGAAGGTTTTTTTTCTGACATTTGGTCCAGTCTAAACAGGCCAAATGTTGGAAAAACCTCTTTCTACAGAAGAATCGAAAAAAAAGTGGCAATGTACCTGTACCCTGAGAGTGTATAAGGGCTGGGGATAGCAAGTGATGGAGAGGAGAAGAACAGAGAGGGCGGGACTTCAAGGAAGGGGTGGGATCATGGGGGGAAGGATGGGATGGTAAATCTTGGCTTGTTATGATATTGAGTATAAAAAGGTTGGAGACAACTGCAATAAGCCTAAGCTTATCGGGTAGTAAATCGAGTACTCAACTATTCTACTTGCATCCCTTCCCCCACCCGCCTAGCAAGGACCTGGGACGAGCCAGCTGTTCTGGGGGCGGCTCAACTGTGGCTCTGCTCTTTTCCCATCCCACGCGCTGGGCTGGAACCGCTCCTCCAGAAGCTCCGCTCACGAACGGCAGGCAGGGAAGTGGCCAGGGCTGCCCGGCCCTGGGCCAGGAGCCAAGGACCGAAGCCTGGCGGGGTGAAGTGCAGCGGCCAGGCGAACTTGGCACTCCCAGTCTGGGCTCAGGGAGATGCAGGCTCACTGCATTGGCCAGAGTGGCGGCGCTCCACAGGTGGTCTCCCGGGGTGTGGCGAGCAGTGCCGATGCCGCCGGCAGTGCTGTGTGGAACCCTGGGCTGGGCTAGTGGCGCTCAGGGCTCCGTGTGGACTGGGAAGGCGGGGCACAGAGCTTCTGGCTGAGCTGGGTGCTAGGAGGAGGCTCCAGTAGCTGAGTCAATGTGGCTGGGCTCAGTGCTCGGCTGGAGTGAGCCCAGGCTGGGTGTCAAACCCTGCACACCAGTGGCAGTAGCCCACTGGGGTCGTGGGCAAGGAC